ATACATGTTTATTGTTTGCTGTTACTATACATAAATATAAATTTATTCTGTTGAGTGTAATTTTTTTTTTATTGTGTTTCGTTAACATGAAATTAAACCGTTTTAAAATATTTTTTGAAATAAAACGTTTTTAATATTTTGGTCATGTTACATATTATTATAACTATTATAATAATTCAAATATAAAAAATATACATTTTACTATTTTAGGAATATTCCTGAAAAATTCATAAATATGTACAACATGACATGTGAATATGTGATACACTTGTAATCCATATATCTAATATCTAACGATCGCATATAATGATTGAATTGAATTATTTTTGGTTTCATAATCGAAATGTTGACAGTAAAATGTTATATAGTTCCATATAAACCGAATGTTTACATAAGTTGTACAATAATAATATATTATAATAGTAAGTACTACATATTGATGTCGATGTGTACATAGATGTAATTCCCAAGAAATTGTGTGTTACTATAAATACCTACTTATTATACAATTTTAAATACACAAAATGATATTATTATGTTCGCTTTAATAATCTCAATATCTAATTATAACTACAATCTACATGTATGTAGTCAATATTTTGGGATAAATCCAATGGAATAAAATATGACACTTGGTGTAGTTGTATTATTATTTATAATTATGCATTTTCACCATGAAACTAAAAATAATTATTACATATATTTTTTAATATTATTTAAATATAATTTTATAGTAACATATTCGAATAATATAATTATTTTTGTTTAGATGCTACAAATATATTGTATATACTTCTCTAAGAAAGTTATTGTTCAGTGTTCTATATGCATTGACCTAGATTTTGTTTTTCATCACTCCCTGGAAACCTAAATATGAGACATTCATCTTCGCTTACTTCACTCACCTCGACATTGAACAATACATTATAAGAATCTATACTATTTTTAAATTCTGAGCGAAGCGATGAATGTATTGTATATTTTACTATGATGTGTGTTTTTTTTCTGTCATCATTTGGAATAGATAAAATGCTTCGATTTTCGACATCACCATATTTTCTGATAGAAAAGTGAATCTAGTTGATATATTCGGGAGGTTAAAATTCCCAAAAGTTTTTGAAAGCGGCGGAAAAAAAAGAAATTAAGAAATAATGTTAAAAATGTGGTAACGAAATGTTAAAACACGTATTTTATGTATATTATATCCTACTAATATCATCGTGTTAACGTTAAGGAGTTTTCATAAAATGTTATTTAGTTTATTTTTATTTGCACTCTACTCGTTAAGTTTGGACGGTAGGTATACCTACGATTATAAATAGGCATAGCACTACAACAGCCATCTAATAATCGTGCATAATAATATAATATACTTGTATACTTACTATACAGATTTTGAATATTTCAAGACGAGTGAACTGGTGTGTCGACAATGGTAACGAAAAACAATCCACGACAGGGTAACTCAAAAATGTATAGTATGGTAGTCGATGGGTGCATAAAATATCACTGTGTTTTTTATAAGTTATAACTAGTTTGCTACATTTCGTGATTGTAATACCGACTTAAAGGAAAATAATGCCTCAGGGAATTCATACTATACGGTCTTCACATGTGCACAACGTATACCTATTTAACCATTGATAATAAATACTATACTATTATGTTATGGTATTTATAGTCAATGGTATAACTATCGTCTACCATTGTAATTTAATACATGTCTAATGAAAAAAAGTTTATCGTGATTTCATAGTAAAGTATTGAGAGTTTAAAAAAAATCTTACTAGGGCATTAAAACATTTACAAAGCAAATATAAGTACAGATGCACTGAATAGGTACGTTTAGTCAACGTCACATGGCTTGTTAATTATCCATTACAATGTATGCAAAAGTATGATACAATGTGTTTTGATAGTTAGAATAATTATTGTACAACGAAAATATTAAAAACATATTTTGGGATAATGTAAGGCTTTGTTGCACCACGGATTTGAATGACAAACGATCTGTAACAATATGGCGTCTACGTGGCACGTAATGAAACTTTTTCTTTTCAACTACATTTTGTATTATCGTATAGGAAAATCAAAATATGATTTCACTCCATACCGTTCGATTTTATTTGCGCATACCTACAGCTACCAATAATGCTATATTATAATATAATAATATATTATATTATTATTGCGTGTCATGATCTAGTCGTGAGCGGGAAATCACCCGTTGGCCACTCGCCGTTCTCATTAAAAACGTAAAACAAACCGAGTGTCTATGGCTTTATTGTTTGAAATATAACAACAACTACAGTATTCAAGGCCGACGCGAACCCGTCTCGGGCTTGAACTGTCCGTCGGTCTCGCTGATCACCTCGAGCAGACAATAACTACGACTGTAAGCATATTGTGTTGCATACTTAACTATCAATAGACTCCGAAGTGTATAATATTAACTAATAATAATGTAATATTCAATAACATTATGAATGAATTATAATAATAATATGATCTGTTCACTAATCACTATTGTTTTAGACTATCCAGCAATAAAAAATGCCTGAGTCCAATGTTTTAAATAAAATATAATTTAAAGGTAAAAAATTGGCCAATAAAAATCATTTTTTTTTTTTAAATTGTTCACAATATAAGAATTTTTATTATTATTTTGAACTCACCATACCTATTTAAATATAATATTGTATAAGTATTAAGTATATAACTAACACATGTCACCAAAGTTTAGTGTAAAATATAATTATAATATAAGAAACTTTGTATGCACATATTATTATCATTTACTTAATTTCATAACTATTGGTTTTAAAAAAGAAATTCATTATTCAAGATTTCATCTCCAGGAATAAACACGTTTTTGAGTTAGGTATGCTCGGAATTTTGAAAATTCACTAAAATCTGAAATATTGATATTATTTGATTATTCCAAAGAACATAAAATATTCAGAACATGTGTTTTTGTAAAATTATACAAGAAAGTCGAGTTTGAAAATAATGTTAATTAGGTACCTAAGTGGTATTGACGCGACTGTCATGATTTCTAAAGAAGTAAAATAAATACTTGAAAACAGTTAACAGATTTTGCTGAATATTTGTAAAAAGTTGGAAACGGAGACTTGCCAGTAACGAATACGGGTGAAATTAAATAACCATTTGACATTTTTTCTTATGCAAATTTAATTGATGAAGTCTTTGAAACAATTGCCAACAGTAGATTTCAACATATATGAAAGACAGAGCCATAATTGCACCTTTTAACTCTTGTTACACAAATTAAGATAGTCAAAAAACTACATTTGATATTAAAATGTATTACAGCTACGATTCTATGAAAAATGAACTAGATATTGAATTAATTAAACCGATAAGCAAGAGCTTTGCGATCCACTTCTGACTTCCTAAATTCTGTTGATGTATAGCCAAATTACTACCACGTGAACTTAAACTGAAAAAATACTGTAATTAATAATATTGCTATCTTGTGAACTTAGATATTTCAGAAAGACAAAATTATGGGACCGGGTAAATTGTTAATGAGTTATGTAATAATATTGTTGAAGGTATTAGAAATAGGTACTGAAGACAATTCGGGAAAAGAAAAGAGGTGCACATTCCAAGAATTACATAACACTTTAGCAAAGGTCAACTTGGCTGTACCATGCAGACATCAACTTCCCGTTAGACCAGCATTTTCTATGACAGATCACCAAGGTTCAGGGTCAAACATTTGAGTATGTTAGTTTAGATTTACAAACACCAGTTTTTATGCACGGAATGTTGTACCTACGTCGCTTTTTCGCGAGTAAGAATAAATAGCAATTTAAACGTGCTTTTACTACAAGAATATTCTCGCTACATTCTTAATATCGTGTGGAAATAAACATTAATAATAATATAGGCTATTCTAATTATCAGTGGCGGCATCTGGGGGGTGCAAGAGGGTGCAGTTGCACCCACGACAATTTTTCTGGTGAGGTAAAAGTTTTGCACTCGCAGACCAGTGGCGTTGAGAGCTATTTTAACAATTTCAGTCTACCACCCACCCAATATTTTATAAGACATATCAAAAAAAGGACGTTAAATTAGATTATGTTTATTATTAAATTATCATTATATACACAATAACAATAATTTATTAAAACGTTTGAAGTTAATAACGCATATAAATTAAAAGCTTCTTCTAGATAATTTTTTTCTTTAAATTATTATTTTTATATTCTGAGCTGAGTGAAAATACGTATAGGTGTTAATTTTACAATAAGGTGAGTTGTTTTTGTCAGTTATGAACTTTTGTAGCAGTAAAAATGCTAAGTAATTTTCAAAAACATGTAAGATCCCGAAATAAATAAGGACAAATGGAAATTTTTTTGGCATAACTAAAACGTAACTGTAGGTATAGGTATATGTGAAATTTTTACCAAATGTTAATATTGACGTTTCCTATATGCCAATAAGTGCTCAAAATATTTTTATTTCTTCTGAGTTACTGATAGCTATGAAAAAAATTTTCATTTTTCTTCATTTTGTTAAAATTATTATCGATACAAAAAATATTTGATACTAAGTTATTATTCAAAAATGAATAATCAAAGAAACTTGAAATTTCACCAAATTGTTGAATCTCTTTTCGTGGACATTCCAAATTACATGAATGATTTCAATCTAACCAAAATTAATCTGAAATCCCTAATTTTATTTAACACACCTAAAATTGAAACCTTGATATTAGAAAAATAATGAAAAATGAAATAATATAAAAACATTTTATTCAAACTAATATGTAATATTTGAAAAAAAACTGAATTCTAGCTATAAGCTTTGTCACCTGGTTACAGTTGTATTAACTATTGAGTGGTTAATATAGAAACTATTTATCCTTTTTGATTATCAAACTATAGTAATGAAAAACTCAAATCAATAAAGTAAACAACTGTACACATTTAATAAAACATAGTTGTTTTTTTTTTTGATAGTCCATTTTTACTATGAATAATATTCTGGAAAATAATGAAGATTTACATGAAGAGTTTAAAACTCTTTTGATTAAAATTGAACCGCACTTTGTCTTGTTAAAATCAAATCTTGGTACTTATGAAGTTTTATTTAACTCTTTGATCAAAGCATACAATTATCTATATTGTATATAATTATATTGACTAATGGAAATAAGAAGTTTGTTTTATAAAATTAAAAATGTATTAGTAACTATACCAGGTAGGTACTTAATACTTATGATGTAATAATATATGATGATTCCTTTAAAAGGAAACATTCATTTTAAGAATTGTTTGAGAAATAAAATGTTATCATCATTTTTATTATGATTTGAATCCGTTATAAAAAAAAAAATTTAAATAAAAACAGAACATTGCTGCTGAAAAATCAAATTTTGAACTAATAGTAGTGAACATTTGTAAGGTAGGTAGTGTGACTCAACACCACCTCGACATCTTTTAAATATATTACGTACACCAATAATTATTGGAATATAATGTATTCTTTCAAATAAATAAATATACATTAACAGAAATGCAAATAAAATTGTTTTTAGAAAAACTTTTATGCCGAGAATGGTTACACAAGTTATTTAAGACTGGTGAACACGAAGAATCACTTAGAAATGCTTATTTAACCAAATTATTTGAGCAACTAGAAAAAGGAAAATTAAAAGAACCGTTTAACAATCTTCCCAAACACAAATCGCCTTTGTTACCTTTGACTATTCATAATTTTTCCAAGCCGGTGAGAATAATTAGTTAATAAATTTATTTTTGAGTTTTTTAGTATGATTTTAACTTTTATTTTTGGGACTTTAATTATTTTATTATATTACAAAAACATAGTGAAAATGTAAAGTGTAAACATATTTTAGTACTCGTTAATATTGAAACTAGGTATTTAAATAATTTAAAGCAGTCGGTATTTGTTCAACTATAAAAATTATCAGAGTACAAAAAAATATTTAATATGATTTTGCTTATAAATTCTCATCAGATTCTTTTTTTTATCAGAATTTTAATGTTCGTGATAAAAAAGCCCCCAAAAAAGTAGAGGAATCTTTGATTTCGGGTGTGCCAAATGTTCGCAAGACTGTTGATACTACCAAATGCACGGAAAATCATGTTCATAATAAAAAAATCAAAATGTTCGGTAATGTTCGTGATGAAAAAACGATGGAAAAAGTAAAGGAAACTTTGATTACGGACGCAGTAAATGTTCACAAGTCTGCTTATGCTCCCAAATCTACGGAAAATCATGTCCATACTAAAGAAATCAAAATGTTCGATAATGTTCGTGATAAAAAAGCGATGGAAAAAGTAAAAGAAACTTTGATTACGGATGTTGTAAATGTTCATGAGATTGTTGATACTCCAAAATCCACGGAAAATAATATACATACTAATGAAATCAAAGGTAATATCAAAATATTCGTTAGCTTTCCGACTCAGATCCTTTTTTCAAAATAAGTTAACCATCAACGTTGGCCTATAACAAGAAATAATAATTTAAAAAAATATATAATAATAATAATAATCATAATAATAATAATAATAATTATAATAATAATCATAATAATTATAATAATAATAATAATAGTAATAATAATAATAATAATAATAATAATAATAAAATAATAATAACTCACTAACTGACAGTAAATTTACGTAGTTTTTAATCCACTATTAAAAAAAAAAATAAATTTATATTTTTAACAACAAAATCTAAACAGTACAAGCATATCCTCAATAAACACAAAAAAAATCCAGATTAATCCATATTATTTAAAGTTTGGTACACATTTTCTCAGTAAATTTTTATAATTTAAAAAATAATCTTTTATAGTAACAAAAATTGATAGATACCTACATAAAAGATTTTTTTTTTCTATACTCTGGTAGTGAATGCGAGTTCCAATGAAGTAAAACAATCGGATATGAATGAAATTTCAGATGATTCAATAGAAGTACAGGTAAAATCACAATTACTCAAAGTATTTTCAGTTAGGTTTTTTTATTTTGTAAAGTTAGATTTTATTCACAATATTTGAGTCAAAAACAATAAATGATTTATTAAATATTTATACATTTTTAATTTTATCTTTAAAATAAATTGTATGCAGCCTTAAATCAACGCATGACTTAATTGTGCTCTAGCGACGGGCTTGGGCTTAACTAGACAAATTGAATTTCATATTAATGTTGAACTACAAATTAATTGCAATTTGTCAAAGTTTGAACTTTAAATGCTTATACAAAATAATCGTGGCTATAGTTAATATTTGTATATTTATAATAAAAATGTATGATAAAACTTATTAATATTACGAAAAAATATAATACACTTATTTTAATTAAACGACAGTGCAATCTGTTTTTTGAATAAAACTATTCACTCAATTTTCAAAGTTTTATGTAATTCTAAAAATATCTAGTTTTTTGAACATTTTTTAGAGTTTGTAGGTCATAAATGAATTGTTTGAGAGAGCATTGAAATTCGAGCCCCTGACTAATTAAAAATATATTTATAATATTATACATTTTCGAATACAAACATTTAATATAATAATAATACTTGTAGTAACGTACCTATAGGGTATAACGGAGTATAACTTATTGGACATTTGAACTCTACTCATTAAAAATACAATTGCTATATTAAACTTAGATTAAGTAAGGTTATATTTATTCCATATTTTTTTCTTGTTTTTATAGTGGCAAAAATCGGCAGTGGATAAAAGTGAAGGCGGTGATGGACTGACATTAAATGTAGAGACTAAATTAAAATTAGGATCTGTTGAAAAATTGTCCAATGAATTAAAGGTGAGTGTTTCCATCGTTAAGAATAGGCCATGTGCCACGTTTATTTATTATTTACTTATTTTTATTTTTTGAAATATTATACGGGATCGGACTCAAATACTCAATTACATGAATTTATTATTATGCATAGCATTCGAAAAGATTTAGTTAAATATAATATATATTTCATAATATTTTGTAGAAAAAACGCGAACTTCTATCGGAACAAGTTCAGGAAATTAGGCTGTACACTGATAAAAACCTAATAAACGACGATCAAATAATTGTACTCAATGGCGAGTTAAACAAGTTAGTTTATGTTCATTGTATTTGTATTTTGTATAATATAAAATTCACGCGTATCCTATAATCTTATCGATCATTTTTTAATAGTATGATATTATTCACTGTGGCTTACCGTACTTACCTAGTTACCTATCCTAGATTTAAGAACGACTTGGAAAACATGTGTGATCGGGAAGCAGCTGATGAACTGGGTGCATCAAAGTTACTTAAAAATATTTTGGAAAAAACTACTGGACTTGACAACAAAATTGTATCAGAAATGCATCGTTTAAAAACCATGGTCGAGGACGCGTGTGCGAGTAAAAAAAGTAACAACTTTGTTGTGGAGCAATTGAAGGAATTACACCGCTTGAAAATGGACGAAAAAGAAAAATTCCATGCCACGGTGAATAGAAAATTAAAGATCGAGATTTTGCAATTAAAGGAGTACGTGGGTAAAGTCGAAGAAGAGGCCAAGTTTAAACAACTTAGCAACGAAAATGATTATGATGACGATTGCAGCAGTACATGATTGAAATTTGAAATACCTACCTACATATAGTAAACTTATTAATATTTAAGGTAGAGAATTGATAAACGGTTTGTTCATAACGATCCAACGCAATTAATTGATTTTACTCAAACATTTTTTTTTATTGTAAGAAATATGTTTTTTTAACAATCTGCTAGAGTCTATTGACACCTATTGCTAGTTCAATATAACACCTAATTCATAGTCATCAATAACTTTAAAAATGTATGATTTTAGAAAATATTTTATTAATCCATCAAATATTCTCATAAAAATAAACAAATTACTATAGTTTAGAGAACTAGAGAAGTTATAACTAAAATTGACAAAATCTGCACGAAAAATAATGAAAAATATGTATTGAAATCTGAATAAAAATATATATATATATATTGTAGATTCAATAAATCCATTCACATAGGTTATTTATAAAAAATAATACTTTTTTTAATTTTTGGCACAATAAATTTTAATTAATAATTACTTCAACATAAATTTAATATTTTTGTAGTTAATCGTCGCCAACCGCCGACGGCCTACCGGCATCGATAGTAATCATCGTCGTCTGTCTATAACATCCTATTATTAGACAATAGACGCTGTAATCATATTTTTATATGATGCAAAACAGTCAATAGTCAATTAAATTGAAATTTTAGCCATTTCTGAATGAAAATATTTATGTTGGTATTTAAAATAAATAATAATCTTAAACATGCATTTGTAAAATATTGAAGAAATATGAGATATATAATAGATATGACCTTGAACAGATATCTAAACAGTGCGACCCACGAGGTAAGTCCTATCAACAAATAAATTGTACTTTGATTTTTGAATTTCCCTATATAGTTGATACAGAAGTTCTTTTGAGTTTTTGCTTCCTCCTTAAAAGCTATAGATCAGTTAATTTTCCGACCAGAAATCACCCTCAAGCTCATTATTAATGCTTTTTCCTGCTCTGAAACAAGATGGACTCACAAAAAACACCATTTAAGACTAATAAGTATTATACCTAACCTATACAGCACAATAATATACAATAGGTGCATACCTATTATACATTCATCACTCCGCTTTGAATTGAATATTGTTTCTTATCTACCTACATTGATATTACAATGATATTGTATTTTATTTTTTTAATCAAAATAAAGGGACTCGCATGTCCCACACACGAAACGATTAGTTGACAATAGTCAATAACTTGTTGACATGCTGATTGTTCGATAAGTTGTCAAACAATGCCATCACCTCTTACACTCTGCACGTGTCGAATAATTTATTCGATCGCTTTGTACATATATGTTTGTCAATAAATTATTTTAAAGTTGAAGAGGGTTAACAATCTATACATAGTGTACCTAAATGTATGTATGTATAACAATCAAATTTGTGTTCAAAGATCATAGTATCAGATATTCGCCCTGTTCAAAGCATCATGAATCATGATGTTTCTTGACAATATAATAAAACGAAATATAAACATAAAGATTTTTCGTTGAAAATATGACGATAATATACATCATATAAATAAATACAAGGTGAAACAGAAAAACCTGAGCTATATAGAAAAAATTGATACCAAGCAGTTAAACGTATGGCAAACATTATACAAATATATGGATACTAAATTATTTAAGAAAATCAATAGTTCTACTATACAAGAAAATACTTTGAAAAACTTATTACATTTCAAATTATTTTAAGCAGGTACGTACTACGTACTTCAAAACAATATTGATGTTTAAAATTTTTTTAATAAACGTTTTTATGGTCAAAATTACGTCGAAATAAGGTCTAAAAATTAGATTTACAAATTGTCTGTTGTGAAGAATGTAATGAAATAATTTTTTTATTTTCGGTATTAAACAAAAATGGTATACCTATACTGTACTTGTAACGCAGTGGTGTATTAGTTATTTTTATAAAAATGTATAAGTATTGATTTGAACTAAATGTATTTCATTTGTCAGGTCTTTCTCTTTCATGGCGATAAAAAATACACTGTTTATAGTTTTATACATTCTATTAATTTATTGCTGTTGAGAATTTTTTCACTCCATAGGTATACACACACATTATACACATAACTATATAAATAGTATTAAATATATACCTTATAGGTACAATATAATCATTACAAAAAATGTCATGAACGAAACAGAAGTCCATAATCTAGTTTAATAATATTACCTAATACCTAATACCTAAGATATTATAATAATTAAGTAGGTAACTCAATACAATAGTAGTGTAATGTAATGTAATGAAAATTCTTCCTTTTATTTCCAATGCAAAAAAGTAAGTATTTAACGCTGGCTAATAACCACTCAGTTGATACCTTAAAACAATCATAAAAAAAAAAATATTCCAAAATTTAAGTAAATAAAACCATCTATACATAATCATACAATTTATAGGTAATACCTATATTATAGGTCCTAAAATATTTATTTATTTATTAATATAGTTATTACAATTAATATCTATATTTAAATAATTTTTAAAAACAATTTTTTGTGAACATAAAAATTATGTAATAACGTTTATTTAATTTGTACTACAAATTAGTAGGAATTAAAATGTACAGGCAACTTATACGATACATATGTACATATAAATAATCGAACGTTATAAAAATATTATCGGTGCATGATAGTTACCACCCAAAATATACGAATTGCATTCCATCTTTATCGTAAATAAAAAGTGTATAATATTCAGTATTGTTGCCTTCGATGATCAGGTATTTCATAATTATATACGAGTGACGAGTTGCCTCCCAGAAAATAAGAATGTTCACACTAGTTGCCTCCCATATAGAATTATGTATAGTGGTTCATAAACCCGACTAAAATATACCACGTGAGTATATACAAATACATACCTACACAATATAATATTTTGTGTTACAATATTATTATAAAAATTAAATTAACAGTGACGTATATCTAATACCTATAATATTACATGATAAAATAATGAATAACGTCTAATATTATTCGTAGGTAAAGATACTTTTCTATTTTATTATAGCAAACGTCGTGGTTTTATTTTATTGTCAATGAAGAACTCTACACTACAATTATTGAGAATAATGTGATTATTGTTAAACAAGTTATCTTATATATTTAGAATTACATAATATATACCTACGCTTAAGACCATCATCTTAATTGATTATACATTTATACAAATTGTACACAGCTATTAAAAACAATATTATAACACACATTTTTATTAGTCAAGGAAAAATCGTTTGGTAAAAATATTGTTTGTATTATAGTACAATTTTGAACTGTTTAGGAACCACTTACACATTTATTACCTGCCCGTTCGCTGTGAGGCACCTGTAGTACTATAGACCCTTTTCATTGACGATAAAATATTATATTGTGGTGCGTCGGGAACAACTCTGAACTCGTAACGTACAGCGTTATAGCTATTTGCCCGTTGCCGGGAGGCAATATGTTTAAAAATTATCTACCTTTTTGACTAAGGGTAGCAACTGTAGTATAAACCCAATCTTATTACATTTACTATACGCTGTAGAGCCGTAACAATGCGTACTTATAATCGTATTACAAAAATGTTGTAAATAACTTCACTGTTTACAATATTTTCTGAATGCAATCGATCCAAAAATGTGCGTCATGTATTTGCATTTGGTGCATAGAAAATATAGTTGTAGGTACTGAATTGATGAAATAATATTATTAAGATGGCGCTACACCCGCATAATATGTATAGACTGTTGTCTCCAGTGGCTGTTCGTGTTTATGTGCACTAGTGCACGTACGCTATCCCTACCCAAACTCGAGAAGAATTGAAAAATTGAAAACATAAATCATACAACTAAGTAGGGGTCACATGAAGTGTTATTGAGATTATGTTTCAAAGTACAAAAACAGAAATATAGAAATATTCAGATGAAAAGAAAACGGCCGGGCGGTTGTCCGCACCGATCGGTATGTATTACAGGATAGTTTCACACAATCGCTGTGTGCACATTATTGTACAGAGTAAAATTTAAAACAAGTCAAAACAAGCAATCCGCGTTATAATGAAATTGATGAGCACATTCGTTTCTGTGCACATCACCGATTAAATTGTTTTCAGAGAATTATTTTCGACGTCGCGGTCGCGCGTCGGCATTAAAATTTATTTTTAAATACTCTAGCTCGTTTATTATATTCAGATTATCAGAATTAAGCAATTGTTTAATACAATCTATTAAATGTATTATATAGGTATGTATAATATTGGTAAAATTATTTTGTATGTGCTCTACTTCATGAAAAACCCACAAGTCGCCACTGGTAGTCTCCGTCTGACAAACGTAAAACAGAACAAAAACTTTTTAGCACTTGAATGAACTAAGAAAGTTACATTCATAACTGAGACACCATATTTTCACAACATAAAAAGAAGAACTTTAGCTGTGAAAAATAGTTTTTATTTTTTCTCTATCGGAACTACAATAATAGTTATTGAAGTTTTAAAAACACAGAAATAATGGATTTTATAACAATTAGAACTTTTTTCGTAAAAGTGATGTACAAAAATTAAAATACTATTTTACAGTTAATGCTCTCGACTATATTGTTTAACAAATTTGGAGTCTTAACTATCGCTACAGCCTGAGTGGTTCTATCCAACACAAAATAGTTTTTGCTACATTGTACATTTGTAAGACGGAGTCAGCACACTCGGGTATAGCGTCCTGTGAAGAAACGTTAGGTAAGCACAAGCATATTATATTGTGCAAATGTATATCTCGATTGCCTTCAATGGGTAGCGAAATCTTTTTTTTTTTAAACTGGGAACTCAAATTCTTTTGAGCAGATTCTGACAAGTGGATTCTTCTGACACGTGTTTTTTAAATGATGTTATTCTGTAGAAATAGTTGATAATAGTGTTACTTCACGGTATTTTTTGAATGAAATGTCATTGTTTATAAATCATGACTAAATTCATTTATCGCTCGTTTTAGTTTT